TATTTTCTATGGTTCAGGTGTAGTTTCTATAGCCCAGGTGTAGTTTCCATGGTCCAGGTGTAGTTTTTATGGTCTAGTTGTAGCTTTGTGGTCTGGGTGTAGTTTCCGTGGTTCAGAGATTAGTAGTAGTAGATTTTCCAGGTGTAGTTTGATAAATCGACCCCACCCCCAATAGCAAGTTTAAAACTGGTTTTAACATTCAAGCATTTAATAAATGTTTCCAAATGAAGAAAGCTGGTATCAAAACAAGAACTGGGGAGGATTAATCAAGCTTTTATCCTACAGTGAATTAATTTTATGAAAATTAAACCACACAGTTTGGATCTAGTATCTACCACTGGTAAACTTTTTAAATAAAATACTATTCAATATGGCCACCACAACTAATCTACCTTAGTATATACAAAAATGTCCATAACTGTCGGTTTTACAGATACTGAGTTGCAGTTTGGTGTGGTAGTAGCTGAAAGTCATTCACAACACACAGTTTGAACTCCAAACAATTCACTATAATATAATATATATTATATATCTAATTTAATTATATAGTTAATGGTAAAGTTAAAGAGCCATCATCAAGGCTAAACTGACAATCTATTTTATATTTTATATAGAATTTTAACTTTTTCTGTTTAAATTTCTTTTTCTTTGCAGATCAGTGGTCTTTTAAATTAAATGGTAGGATTTGGATTAAATTTAAAAATAATAAAAGAGTTTATTGATGCACTAAATTCCCTTTTTATTGGAACATGTAAAGCATGAAAATAAAATGTCACTGATTTAGAAACTTTAAAAGCACCAACCTGGGCACCTCTTAAAGCTAAGGTTTTCATCTTCAGAATCAAGATCAATTATTTTATTTTATTTATTTATTTATGTCTTTACTTGGTGTGTCTTTGTTTTGGTTGAGGTTCGCTCCTGTTTCCAAGGGGAAACTGAATTTTAGATCAAAGACGATCTTTTGTTCATACAAGGAATTTCATGAATACATTTCTGTAGTCTTCATTTTAATTTTTACTGGAACTTTTTTTCTGACAAGCTGAGCTTTTTATTCATTCAATTTCTAGTCTTGGCAACGCTCAGGGATTTTATTAATGTTGTGATGTTCGTGAATAATTTATAAACACTTCCATCCACGATACTTAGATCAACAAGTGTTAACGTGAGGATTGTGACTCCTTTCATAAATGTCTTTTGTTAACAAGGTTTTTTTTACCTTCCAAGTAGTCAGTGGGATAACTGTAGAAGTCGGTAGTCTGGAGAAAACGGTGCAGAATTAGAATGCATGGAAATTTAAAAGGTAATTGTGAAAATAAGATGTTTCTGCAAAGGAATAGATTAATAAATAACACATTCAGTGCACTGGTGGAGCGATGATAAACTAGCACAACTTAGTGGGTTCTAATTTATTTATTTATTCATTTTTGGTACCTTTCATTCCAACTTCTCCCCCTTCGCAGTTTTAGTCTCCAAATTGAGCCTTATTAAGGTAACTGGCCCACTCAGCTTCTCAGAGTTTTCTCCAGGACATATGTGTTTTTTTTATCCTGTTTTTAGAAGCTGCACTCTTTTAGCAGGAGACAGAGCTAGAAGGTCTGGTTTTAAGTTTCAGATCTGCTGGTTCTGATCTTTACAGCTA